TTTTACATTTTTTGTCATGTTTTGAGGCCATTTCTTTTTGGTCGTGTGTGTAAAATTTCATTATATTTTGACGTCGTTTATATTTTATTATATTTTATAAAAATGGAAAATAAAGAAAATCATGAAAAATAGACTATTCATAAAAAATGGTGCCACTTGTTGGATTAATTCCTAAAAATAAAAAATTTTTGAATGCAAAACATATATAAAAATGTAAATTTTTTACCCATCCCGGCCCCGGAGCTGGCCCTTGGATGCCCTACTACGCGGGCCGGGGGCCTATTGACAAGGTTTTACCTTTTTTTGCCATTTTTTTAGGTCATGTTTTTCTAGCGTGCCTAGAAAAATGTAAAGATCATGTATGCAAAATTTCATTATTTTTTAACGTCGTTTTTATTTTATTATATTTTTTAAAAATGAGAAATAAAAAAATGATAAAAATAGAATATTCATCAAAAAATGGTGTTGCTTGTTTCATTAATTCCTAAAAATCATATATTAATTGTAGAATCCAAAACATAAATAAAAATATATATTTTTAACCCATCTCGGCCCCTGAGCTGGCCCTTGGGCGCCCTACTACGCGGGTCGGGGGCTTTTTGAGAGTGTTTTACCTTTTCTTATCATTTTTTCTAGCATGCGTAGAAAAATGTAAGGATCGTGTCTGCAAAAGTTAATTATTTTTTGACGCCGTTTTTATTTTATTATATTTTATAAATATGAAAAATAAAGAAAATCATGAAAAATAGAATATTCATCAAAAAATTATGCCGCATGTTGAATGAATTCGTAAAAATCATATATTAATTTTAGAATACAAAAAATAGAAAAAAATGTAAATTTTTTACCCATTCCGGGCCCTGAGCTAGCCCTTGGGCGCTCTTCTACCAGGCCGGTGGCTTTTTGACAGTATTTTACTTTTTGTTATCATTTTTTGTGGCCATTTTTTCCGGCATGCCTAGAAAAATGTAAGGATTGTGTTTGCAAAATTTAAATATTTTTTGATTCCGTTTTTATTTTATTATATTTTATAAATACGAAAAATAAAGAAAATCATGAAAACAGAATATTCATCATAAAATGGTGCTGCTTGTTCGATTAATTCCTGAAAATCATATATTAATTTTAGAATACAAAACATAGATAAAAATGTAAATTTTTAAAGTATCCCGACCCCTGAGCTGGCCTTTGGGCGCTTTTCTATGCGGGCCGGTGGCTTTTTGATAGTATTATACTTTTTTATCATTTTTTGCGGCCATTTTTTTCTGACATGCCTAGAAAAATGTAAGGACCGTGTCTATAAAATTTCATTATTTTTTGACGTCATTTTATTTTATTATATTTTTTAAAGACAAAACATAAAGAAAATCATTAAAAAATATAATATTCATAGAAAAAATAGTGCCGCTTATTGCATTAATTCATAAAAATCATATATTAAGTTTAAAATGAAAAACGTAAATAAAAATAAAAAAGTTTAACCAATCTAGGCCCTTGAGATGGCCCCTGGGAGCCCTACTACGCGGGTCGAGGACTTTTTGACAGCGTTTTACGTTTTATTAATTTTTTGAGGCTATTTTTTTCTCTCATGCCTAGAAAAATGTGTGACACCCCTTTTATACCATCTACTTCCAAGCTTTATTTCCTTACTATTAATTCAAATGTAAGGACATGCCATAATCACCGACCTTCACTTGTCACTTATGTGAAAACTATGGTGTTTCAAATTTTTTTTTTGCTTAAACAAAATTTCGTTAATACACCATTCCTATCAAGTTTTCTAGCCACAATTAAAATTATACAGTCATCCAAGGTTTATGAGCTTAACTCCAAAATTATATGTTTACAAATCTAAAATAATCAGTGTGCAGCTTCTTCGGTCCAACCATATCTACAGTGGTCAACGAAGCCAGCTCCCCTGCTTACTGTTCTTCTTTGTTCTTACCTTTTCCTACAGCACAGAGAAAACTTTAATGAGCTTTAGGCTCAGTAAGTAGAGCTACAATTGCACAATCTTACTTTAACATACGTATGCATCACAACATTCTAGATAACTTATGACAATCAATTCCTACACTTTATGCACGTGCACTATATATCACTAGGGCCCTCCCGGTACTGCCGCCGGCTTTTTCACAATCTAGCCACATGCCAATATCTCAAATCACAATATCAGGGTCCCCGTCATCACCCACCTGGTTCGAGGGAATGGCCAGTGCATTAAAAATCACAATTTCTCAATATCACAATATAGTCTCTGTCATCACCCACTTGGCTCGAGTGACTTGCGCGGCTCAATCACAATTTCATCAATCACCATATCACAATAGAAGTCCTTTGAGGACTTGTCAGTACCGGCATATCATGCATGCTATTATGTGCTCAATCACAAGTAATCTAATAATCCACGTCATGCTCTACTTTGTGCACAATATATTAACATAAGCATGCATTCACAACCATACACATTGACAATGTCATAAAAATTCACATAATAGCATACTAGACATTCCATAGAAAGTCTATAAAAAAAAGTTTGTAAGTGCTGCAGAGAAATCATACTCTACTTACCTGAGTTGCTTAGCAAGATCCAAGTTTAACCCTCTTCGTTTTCCTTGTTCGTTTGCCTTTCTATTGTCCAAAATAAACAAGTTGGCCATCGTTACTAGAGCTCAATAGCTCAACCATAAATCAATTTCTAATTCATAATCACATTCCCCTGAAACTGGAATTTCACAGATTCGTCCATCTTTAGAAGAAAATTCATAAGATATTCTCTTTATCTTTAACAATTCCAAAATTAACTTCAAAACAAGGTAGACATGTATATCTTTCCAACGACCTATCATATGTCTCAATCTGACATCTCTAAGTACCTTAAAAACAGTTTCCGCAAAATCATAATTCTGTTTTTTTTTTCCGTTTTTGACAATTTTTAGAAAGTTTCTATATGAAACTTCCTATGCGCACAACTTGTGCTACAAAACTCCAAATGAGGTGATTTTAACTTTTACACGTCACTAATAACCTGTTCTAAATGGTTACAAAGGTGGTTTATATGTAGCACTCCTATTTCAAAAAGTAGGACCCTCAGTTCTTTGTTTTACTAGTTTCTGAAAATGACAGTTTTACGACTGCTACGAGAATATTCACAAAGTATTCTGTGTAGCCTCAAAAATTATAAAACCAGAACCCAAACAAAGTAGACATCTAGGGCTTTCTAAAGAGATATCACAAGCTTAGTTTTGGATCCATTAAAGTCTCCAAAAATATGATAAACCAGATCAAATTTTTCTAGTTTTTCTGCAGAAAAACCAGCCACTAAGCCTAACTTCAAAAAGTCATAACTTGAGTTATAGTTGTCCATTTGAGGTGATTATTGTGGCTATACAAAGCTTAAGATGTCTAGTTTAAGATCCTAACAAAACAAACATTAAAAAGTCATCAAGAAAGTATAGTTTTATACTTTTCTTTAGGCTGCCGCTGGGATCCTCATGAAAATCATAAATTGAACACCTAAGGCATATAACTCTTTCATCAAACCTTCAATACTTTTCATTCACAACTTAGACCCAAGGGTGCTCCTCTAAACCACACTACTATCAACAAAAATCAACAAAACTCTAAGATTCGGAAACCAAAAGTACAGAAGAACTTCACTTTGAGCTCAAATTTGCATGTTAAAAGTTGGGCCTTTGAAGGAATCCGAAAATGGGGTTTTGAAGGAAGCTCAAGGTTCAACTTTTCTAAAACCAAATTAGGTTGTAACATTAAAATCCACAGAATCCAGCCACTAAGCGAAGGAAAAACATCAAAGTAAAAATCAAATTTTTGGATTAGACAACAAAAGTGAAAAACCCTACCTTGAATCCTTGCTCAAACCACCTCTTCACTTCAAAGAATTGATGTAGCCCTTTGTGGAAGGTGGAGATTGAATCAAGGGGCCCTTTGTGGAAGATGGAGATTGAATCAATGGAAAGAGAAAAATACAGAGGGAGAGGGAGATAGAGGGAGAGAGGGAGTCGGACAGGGAGATGAGAAAGAGAGAGTGCAAGACACATGAATTTCTCCTCATTGCCCCCTTAGCCTCCCAACGTGTCTTAAGGGAGCATGGGCTTAGTGGCTTGGCTGAAACACTAGCATTGCCACGTGAGTAGATAGCTGGATGCTGTTTTTTTTTTGAATATTGTAGTATGACCCCTAGATATGAAAATTCTTACAATATTGTCCCCCCCAAAGCCTTACAATTTAATCCTTAAATTCCTTTGTCATTTCTCTTACAATTCCTTCATACAAAATTAATACCAAAGTTTCAGCCCAGAAATTGGGACGTTACAATTCCCTATAACATACAAAAGTTTCGTCCGTGAAACTTAGAACAAAACCAGGAAGTTCTTTCTCATATCATCTAACTCCCAAGTTGCTTCTTCGACCGCATGATTTCTCCAATGGACCTTCACAAGTGGGATGGTCTTGTTCCGCAATTCCTTCTATCTTCTATCCAGAATTTTTATAGGTTATTCTTGATAAGATAGTTTTGGATCCACGTCTATCATTTCATAACTCAACACATGAGATGGTTCCCACAAATATTTGCGTAGCATGGACACATGGAACACATCGTGCACTCCAGACAGCCTCGGTGGAAGGGCTAGTCTATATGCAGTTTTTCCTATGCGCTCAATAATCTCAAAGGGCCTAATATACCTAGGGCTTAATTTACCTTTCTTTCCAAATCTCATTACTCCCCGGACTGGTGCAACTTTCATAAATACCTTGTTACCTATTTCAAATTCCAGTGGTCGTCATCTTCTATCCGCATACTTCTTTTGTCGATCTTGAGAGACTTTCAATCTTTCTTTGATTTTCTTGATAGCTTCATTCGCTTGGTCCACAAGTTATGGACCCAAATATATGCACTCTCCTGCTTCATGCCAGTGTATCGGTGAATGACATCTACGACCATACAAAACTTCATACGGGGCAGCTTTAATAGACACCTGGTAGCTGTTATTATAAGAAAACTCAATCAGAGGAAGATATCTACTCCACGATCTATGAAAGTCTAACACGCAAGCTCTTAACATGTCTTCCAAGGTCTGATTAGTGCGTTTCGTTTGACCGTATGTCTGAGGATGCATTGCGATACTGAACTTCAATCTTGTCCCAAGGCCTTCTTGTAACTTCTTCCAGAATGTCGATGAAAATCTGCTGTCTCTGTCAGAAACTATCGAAAGTGGGACTCCATGTAGTTTCACTATCTCTTGTATGTATATTTCTGCTAGCTTATCAACTGTATAAGTTTTTCTCATTGGTAAGTAGTGAGATGATTTGGTCATTCTATCCACTATGACCCAAATCGAATCATGTCCCTTCACAGTTCTTGGTAACCCAGAAACAAAATCCATGGCAATTTGTTCCCATTTCCATTCTAGAATCTCTAATGGTTACAGCAATCCACCGGGTTTTTGGTGTTCAGCTTTCACTTGTTGGCAAATTAAACATTTAGCAACATACTCCACCACATCTTTCTTCATTCCAGGCCACCAAAAGTAATTTCTCAGGTCTTGATACATCTTTGTTATACCAGGATGCACCGAATACGGTGTATTATGGGCTTTATACAAAATCTACAGTTTAATTTCTTCATCGTCAGGAACACACAATCGACCTTTAAATCCCAACACACCATCTTCTAAGATTTGAAAATTCAGACGCCTATCCTTTATGACTTCATGCTTCAATTATTCAATTAGATGGTCTAAGTATTGTTTACTTTTAATCTCTTCCCTGATCATCGGTTGCAAAGATAGCATAGATAATTGTCCCACTACAAACTCCATTTCTAATTTATTCAAATCGTTTCTCAACGGACCTGGTATTCGAGGTAAAGTAACCAAACTGGCCACTCTCTTCCTACTTAAGGCATCAGCGACTTTATTTGCCTTACCTGGATGGTAACGGATATCACAATTACAATCATTTACAAATTCCAACCACCTTCATTGCCTCATGTTCAACTCCTTCTGCGTAAAGATATAATTCAGACTCTTATGGTCTGTGTAGATGTCACAGTGTACTACATATAGATAGTGTCTCCATATTTTCAATGCAAACACCACAGCGGCTAACTTAAGGTCATGCGTCGGATATCTCTTTTCGTAGTCTTTCAATTGCCGAGAAGCATAGGCAATCACCTTTGCATTAATACTGCTCCCAGACCTAACCCAGAGGCATCACTGTATATCACAAATCCTTCACTACCCGAAGGAATAGCCAAAATTGGAGCTGAAGTTAATCGCTTCTTCAATTCTCGAAAACATTCCTCGCATTTGTCTGTCCACTCAAACTTGACGTTCTTGCGAGTGAGTTGAGTCAAAGGTTGCGCAACTCTCGAGAATCCTTCGACGAAGCGTTGGTAATACCCTACTAATTCGAGAAAACTACGAATTTTAGTAGCATTATTCGGCCTCTTCCATTGACTCACAGCTTCCACTTTTGATGGATCCACTGAAATTCCTTCCCTTGAGACCATATGTCCAAGAAATGACACCTTCTCCAACCAGAACTCACATTTCTTGAACTTGGCGTATAATTTCTTCTCTTGTAACCTTTGTAACACCAATCGTAGGTGTACCTCATGCTCTTGCTTCATTCTTGGATACACTAGTATATCATCAATAAATACGATCACGAACTTATCAAGATATTCTTTAAATACTCGATTCATGAGATCCATGAACGTTGCTGGGGTATTAGTTAATCCAAACGACATTACCAGAAACTCATAGTGGCCATATCTAGTTTGGAATGTTGTCTTGGGAATGTCCTTTTCTCGAACTTTCAGCTAACGATACCCCAATCTCAAGTCAATCTTCGAGAAGACTGCCGCACCCTGGAGCTGATCAAACAAATCATCAATCCTCGGCAGAGGATACTTGTTCTTTATGGTAAATTTATTCAGCTCTCGATAATCAATGCACATCCTCATTGTGCCATCGTTCTTCTTAACGAACAACACCGGTGCTCCCCAAGGTGAATAACTTGGCCTAATAAACTTTTTATCCAATAATTCTTGCAATTGTGTCTTCAATTCCTTCAATTCTGCTGGGGCCATATGATATGGAGCTTTAGAAATCGGCGCAGTTCCAGGTAATAACTCAATTACAAACTCCAACTCCCGATCTGGTGGCAGACCAGGTAAATCCTCCGAAAAAACATTCAAGAAATCTCAAACCACTGGAACATCTTTAGGCTCAAGCGTTACTTCCCGCGCCGCGTATATAATATTAGCTAGATATCCAACACAACCATTAGCTAGCCTTTTATAAGCCTTCATAGCTGATATGATTGGCAATTTCTGTTTGCGGGAGGTTCCACGAAACTCGAATGCTTCTCTTTCTCCTGGGGGCAAAAAGATCACTTTCTTCTTTTTATAGTCTATCACAGCATTATACCGTGTTAGCCAGTCCATCCCCAATATAACATCATAATCATACATCTCTAGTATGATTAGATCAACATACAATTCTCTACCACAAATGACAATAGACACTGCTCTAAGCCAAGATTGAAACTTCAAACTATCTCCTGAAGGTAAAAACACTCTACATACCTCCCCTAGCATATCTGGCGTTCTCCCTAACTTTCTAGCAAAGCTCACAGCAATGAAAGAGTGAGATGCACCTAAGTCTATTAATGCATATGCAGTAGTATCAGCCATTGAGAGCTGACCTAAAACAACTTCAGATGGTCCAGCCTCTGCTTCACCTTGAGTCAAGGTAACCACTCGAGCATTTGTCTTCTGTTGATTCCCACCTCGTCCTCCTCTACTTCCAAAATTCCCTCTTTGTTGGAAATTCCCTCGGCTGTTAAAGCGAGACCGAGGATTAGAACTGGTATCACACTCCTTGGTCCTTGAAAATTGAGCCTGTATTTTTTCAACATTTTCCCACATTTCTTGCCAAATCACTCGCTCAACAGCTCCTGTATAGGTGCGTGGCTCCGTCTCACCATCATCCACTAACTTTGCCAAATCTGACCTTAGACCTTTCATAAACCTCATTTTTCTCTCATTTTCCGTTGCTACCAATCCGGGTGCAAATCTTGACAATTGATCGAACTTCTGTGCATATTCAATCACGATAGAATTCCCTTGCTTTAACTCTTGAAACTCGTCTATTTTTGCATCCAAAGTGTTAGCGTTGTCGTATTTGGTGTTGAATAGCTCCAAAAATCCCGTCAAGGTCAGAGTATTCACATCCACGGTCCTCTTAACAACGTCCCACTAAATTCTCGCATTGTTCTTCATTTGATACACCGTACATGCCATTTTTTCCTAATCTATCAACCTCATGAAATCAAAAATATTCTCAAGACTACACCTCTATTCTTCGACAATTAATGGATCAGTATCCCCCTCAAATGTCAGAGGTTATTGCTTTCTAAATCGCTCGTACACTGGCTCTCCCACTTGAGCCTTATTCTGATCTCGTGCCGGTTGCGGTGGTAGTGGCGGTTGTTGTTGTTGCGGCGGTGGATTCATGTTGGCCTCCATTCGTTCCATGAAGGCATTAAGTCTCTCGGTCTACTGATGAATTTGCTCCGCTTGCAGCCTTATCGCTTCTTGTAATCTTGCTATCTCATCCACTTGTGCCCTAGTAGGAGGCACTTCGGGAGCCTCGTTTCTGAGTTCATTACCATTTCCCTGACGAGCTGGTAATGATTGCTCTCATCGAAGAATCTTATGAGGTCTTCCACGTGCCATTTATTTTAATATACTGGTGTGTGTGCGTGCTATTCCTCCATGCACATCATTTATCAAGCATTCACTCTTAGTCAATAATTATTAAATACTCATTTCTTGATCAAAATAGTATTACTCATAATAACATTATTCTAAACATCCATACAACATCTAGATCGAAGTTTAACACAGTACATACTCATCATCCACGATTATTTACAATATATCACAAATTCCATCTCTAAACTCCTAACTATTCAGTGTCACTATCAGTGAAACTTTCAAGCTTTCTTCTCTCCTAGAGAGAACCTCCCAAGTTTTGGCTAAATTGTCTTTCTATTGAAAATAGAAACCTATTCCATGTCATCTCTTTCATTATTTCATCTTGGGAAATCTCCCACCAAACGGCTGGGTATTCCCTTAAATACATAGCCTCTATCCTTGCCCTAAAATTGTGGGGCATGTTGTGCACACGAAAAATTATGGCCATCCGAGTGGTCCAATTTTGCACTGGTATAGTGTTCTCCTCATCCGAGAACGTCGGGGGTTTCACCGCCTCAACCACGTTTCCGTAATATGCCACTTCACTAGTAGTTATTCGTGATCTACTAGTTACCTCAGTATTTGATTGTCGGCTCGATTGAGCTCCTACTTGTCTATGACTTGGCTCAGACATAAGGCAACTATTTCTTTGACCTATGCACGTTAGATTTTCATAAATCATATACTCATAAGTACAAAATTCACAAATACACAACTTACAGTGAGCAGGCTCGCCGTCTTCGTGACTTGTACATATGGAGTTGTCTACAGAAATGACTAAACTCTAGCTCTGATACCACCAATTGTGACACCCCTTTTATACCATCTCCTTCCAAGCTTTATTTCCTTACTATTAATTCAAATCTAAGGACGTGCCACAATCACTGACCTTCACTTGTCACTTATGTGAAAACTATGGTGTTTCAATTTTTTTTTTTTTTTGCTTAAACAAAATTTCGTTAATACACCATTCCTATCAAGTTTTCTAGCCACAATTAAAATTATATAGTCATCCAAGGTTTATGAGCTTAACTCCAAAATATATATGTTTGCAAATCCAAAATAATCAGTGTGCAGCTTCTTCGGTCCAACCATATGTACAGCGGTCAACGAAGGCAGCTCCCCTGCTTACTGTTCTGCTTTGTTCTTACCTTTTCCTACAGCACAGATCAAACTTTAATGAGCTTTAGGCTTAGTAAGTAGAGCTACAATTACACAATCTTACTTTAACATACGTATGCATCACAACATCCTAGGTAACTTATGACAATCAATTCCTACACATTATGCACGTGCACTATATATCACTAGGGTCCTCCCGGTACTCCTGCCGGCTTTTTCACAATCTGGCCACATGCCAATATCTCAAATCATAATATCAGGTACCCTGTCATCACCCACCTAGTTCGAGGGAACGGCCAGCGCATTCAAAATTAAAATTTCTCAATATCACAATATAGTCTCTGTCATCATCCACTTGGCTCGAGAGACTTGTGCGACTCAATCACAATTTCATCAATCACCATATCACAATAGAAGTCCTTTGAGGACTTGGCAGTACCGGCCTATCATGCATGCTATTATATGCTCAATCACAAGTAATCTAATAATCCACGTGAT